ATGGGTGGAGGGAGGGTGGGGACAGAAGACCAGAGGTGGTGCTGACCCTCAACTCCTGGGCTGCGGCTACACCTTCTGTCCCCTTCTCCTCCCAGGACCTCACCAGTCCCGAGTGTCAAAGTCCAGATTGAAAGCTGTGCCCCGACTCTGGTTCCTCGGACCCAGCCGAACCATTGGCACCTTTGACTGGGAGGCCCGAAGATGCTACCTAACTTCCAAGCCGGGCTTCACAAACATCCCTGAAAGCCGCCCGGCGTCGCCTGAAAATGTGCGAAGCCTTGGCCCTTGAAGCTCCCCCAGAGACCACACTGGGGAGTCGGCTCTGGGAGGAGCTGGGAGACCCCGCCGGCCTCTCCTCGCGGCCAGGCCCCCGTGCAGGAGGTCCAGCCTCAGTCCCCCGCGTGGCCAGAGAAGCTGATTCCCTGTCGCTCTCCCATCTCATGGGACTGGCTAAGAGCCAGGGAGAAATCGGACGTGAAGACTCCGAAAATGTTTACGACGCCCTGCCCAGTGGAAGGAATCTGTTATTTTTATTGGAGCCACACCGGCTGGTTCGGGAAGCGGAGGACTCTGTGGGCGCTGCTCGCCGGAGAGGCGCTGGGCACCTGACCCGGGGCAGTGGATTCGGAGGCCGGCGGTGATGGTTTCCAGCCGGCGGCGGTAAAGGGTGCTGAAAGGGGCACCTTTCCTTGCACCTGTAACTGCATGTGCACGGAGGTGAGGTGTGGGACACCAGAGGCCCTGGCTCCTACGCGCTGAGCGATTTCAGGTGCTGGGCAGTGCTGGGGTCTCACCGGAACTCGGGGCCACTGCGGGCGGAGGGCAGGGCCCCAGAGACCTTCACACAGGGTCAGGAGCCTTGTGTGCATAGCTGTGAGTCTCCGATGCTGGCGTCCGAGTCTCATTTTTTTAATGCATTATTTGAGCAAATAAAGGAATTGACTTGCGCGGGGTATGAGTTGCGTCCTTCTGTGGAGGCGAGACTGTCGTCCCCTCCTGCCATGCCTGCGGGTCTGTGGGCTCGGTCTCCCCCGCGTCCGGAGTTCTCTCTGGATCCCGTCCCCGTGTCCCACCCTCGGGTAGTGAATCGCTGAGACAAGAAAAGAATACAGGTCCTGGGTTGGGTGGGTGTCAGGTGTCAGGTCTGGGGCAGCTCTGGCTCTCAAGGTGGCAGTTCATTGTGGTCCCCCATTCTGGCCCAGCCCGGGTTCCTTCTTAGTCCCCAAATCCCCCCTCGAGAGGACGGAAGGTGCCCTCTCCCCTGCATCAGCATCTTCTCTTCAAACCTCGGGTCTGCGCCCCACTCTCGGAGGTTCAGGGAACATGGGGAGGACAGCAGAAGCTGGATCCCCATCTCAGGGGGACAGGCCCCCACCCACGCTGGGGACACTTCATGGGGGCACCAGGTGAGGCCAGGCCCCGTTGCTTTGAAAGTCTGCTCAAAGGTGGGCCTGCTGTCATGACACAACCTAGTTTCCTCCCCTGAGAAGTCAGAGACAGTGGGAACAGCTGAGCGGGAGGTTGGGGGTGTCGTTCAGACCACTTTGGGGAGCAGGACAGCATCTGGCCTTGTCCTTGGGACTAGCAAGGCCTCTCAATGTCTAAGCTCATGGCAGGCACATCAAAACTGACCTGTGTGTGTTGGTTACAGGAGAGAGAAGCAGGGTATGGTGGAGAGCACCTGTAATCCCAGTGCTCTGGGAGGCTGAGGCAGGAGGATCACAAGTTTGAGCCCAGCCTGAGCAATTCAGCACAACTCTGTTTCAGAAAAGGGCTGGGGACATAGCTTAGTGCAAAGGCCTTGAATTCAATCCCCAGGACTAGGGGAGAGACAGAGAGAGAGGGACAGAGAGACTAACTCGGGGTTGCCAGATTTAGCTAATAAAAATATGGATGTCCAGCTAAATTTGAATTTCATATAAACAGCATAGAACTGTAGTATGAGGAAGGTACTTCTACAAAAACAATTATTCAGTGTTTATGTGAAATTCCTATTTAACAAGATGTCCTGTGTCTTATCTGGAACAAATGCAAGAATAATCTTCTTAATTGCCTCAAAACATGGGAAATTAACCAAAATTTGGAGAACTCTGCAGGGGATTTATTGATCCTTGTAACAGTTCTGCAGGAAGGGCCATGATTATGGGTGGGTTCCACTCCCTTGTGTGTGCCTGGGGCTGGACAGAGCCCCTCTGGCCCTCAGGTGGATTCCAGGCCCCGAGAGGCCTGCGTGGCAGGCGGTGTGTGGGGTGCACCCTGGGTCCCCGCGGAGCCCCTGTTAAATGCACATCTCCTTCCACTGCAGCCTGCACCTGCCCCCTCAGGCTCCCCTCAGGCTCTGCTTTGCAGATCCATCCACCTGTGTGCTGGGTTTTGCATCCTGGGATTTGTTAAGCAAATGCAGTGGGGGTGCGGGAAGCCAGGGGGTCTCGACCCGGCAGGGGTGCTGCTCAGCCTCTCTGGGGAGCTGGGGTGCATCTGGTGTCCTGCCACCTGGACATTGTGCACAGGCACAGCAACAGCCTCCACACCGCAGAGCCCGGGGGCTTTGAAAGACCCCCAAGGCCAGGCCAAGGGCTAGGCCGACGCCAGTGGTTCCAGGGGGACCCTTGGGCACCCCAGGAGCAGCAGAGGGTGTCTAGCTCGGTCCTGCCGGACCTCTGAGGTTTGCCCCATGCACGGGGTCCCGAGGAGGAGGACAACCGAGGCCACGCCCCGAGGGAGACCGGGAAGAGGGGAGGAGGCTCTCTGGACAGGAGCTGAGCCCTGGTGGTGCCCGCTCAGGCCTGGGCCTGGGAGGGTGAGGCAGCGGGGTCCCCGGGCCAGCGAGGCGTCCACGTCCTCTCCGCTCCAGCTCGGGCTTTCTCTCTCAGCTCACAGCTCCCTAGACAGAAGGTACGGAGTCAGGGCTTCCGAGTCCCCCATCTCTGACCTCCCCAACCTCAGCCCCCCAGGACGTCCCCGAGCTGGTTGCCAGGCCCCATACAGCCAAGCTGGTGGAGGGAAATTGGAAAACCAAGAGCGAATTAGGGGGTTCACAAGGACCCTCGGCTGCTCTGTGAGTGGAGTCTCCCCTGGAAGAGTTTGGGACATTACTCAGTTTATAAAAGTTCAGTCAGTGCTGAGTTATTCGGGAAGGGTGTCGGGGTGGAGGGGTCTCTAGAGATCACTGAGTACAGTTGTGTGGATTGCGCACTGGATAAGTAACGGGCCATATAAAGTGAGCAGTCAATTCATGGAACACAAGCGTCTGTAATTACTGGAAGTCCAGTCCACTGCCTTGTTCTAACAAAACCAGTGCAGCAATTTTCCAGCGGGTGGCAGTTAAGTCCCCCAGGAAAGGCGCTATTTTCCCAGTGCTTATGGGGTGGCATTGACTTTGACTGTAAAAGAGGGGAGGGGGAAGATATGCACCTGGGCGATAGGCCGAGGGGTCACCCCGACAACCTGGGACGGGACAGGCGGGGTCTGTCCTGGGGGATACCGCCAGCTTGCACACCTCGGGGCCGGCGTACTCCTGGCTCGGGCTGTGATGGGGCCTGGAGGTGATCCACAGGGTCTCGGGGGCGGACGGCAGCGGGAAGGTGGGCACGCAGGGCGCGGACCTGGATGCGGGAAGCCCAGGGTGAGGAGATGCTGGACAGAGAGGAGCACGGGAAGCCCAGGCGCCGAGCCCTGCCCTCCGGGCTGTGTGGCTCCGGGTGGGTCACTTGCCCTCTCTGGGACACTGTGGGTCCGGGCCTCTCCCTCCGCCCTCCTTCTCCCGCCCGGGCCTGACCACCACGGCTGCACCTCCGTGAGCCTGGGGGTGGCGGCTTCCCCTCTTCCCGAGCCCCTGCTTTCCAGACTCTGGGATCTCCATGCTTGTAGTTCTGGGGACGGAACCTGGGGCTTTCGCCGTGAGCTCCATCCCCGGCCCTTGTTTTCTTTTTCCTTTTCTTTTTTTCTTTTTTTGGTTTTTTGAGACAGGCTCTCACTATGTAGTTGAGACTGACCTGGAACTCACTGTGTAGCCCGGGCTGGTCTCAAACTCACAGGGATCCTCCTGCTTCAGCCTCCCCAGTGCTGGGATTACAGGCGTGCACCACCACACCTGACTGAGAACAAGTTTTTTTTTTTTTTTTTGGTATGGGCATCGAACTCGGGTCCTTGTACTTGCGAGGCAGGCAGCAGAACCACTGTGCTAAATTCCCAGCCCGCCTGGCCCTTTTTATTTTTTGTTTTGAGACAGGGTCTTGCTGAACTCCCCAAGTGGGACTCAAACTTGCAATCCTCCCGCCTCAGCGCCTCCCAGAGCACGGGGATGACAGGCGGGCCCCGCCACTCTGAGCATTTGCAGTGTTAACGACCCGGGAACCTCAGGACAGAGCTCCGCGCGTGTCGTTCTCCGGGCCGCTGGGGGCGCTGTAAAGGCTGCATCGCCCTAACGTCTACGGAGGACAAGGAAGGTCTAACAAAGCTGGCTGAATGGGGAATACGAGTGCGTGCGAGGGAGGGGTCATGGACCCGTCAGGCACTGTGTGACACATAGGTTAAAGTCAACCTGCGTCCTGCGCGCAAAGCGTGAATGAATAGGGGTCGGGTGTCAAGTTGGACACCAGCTTGCACTGCCTGCTGTGGACCAGGTCCAGACTGAGGCCCTGCGCAGGGAAAGCTGCAAGGTGAAAGCCTGGGCCCTAAACCGGGTGTGGTGGTACACGCCTCCAATGGCAGCACTCGGCAGGCTGAGGCAGGAGGATCGCTGTGAGTTTGAGACCAGCTTGGGCTACACAGTGAGTTCCAGGGCAGTCTCAACTACATAGTGAGACCCCCACAAAAAGCCTGGGCTCTAATGAGAAGCCAGGTCGTAACACGGGGATCAAGTAAGCAGCAGGAAGGGGCGGTCACTTCCTGGGCTGCACGCCCCTCCAGCTCAGGGGCCATTTAAACCTGTTAGTGGTCACCAGTTTGAAATCCTACAAAAGCAGGTCCACAATCTCTTTCTCTACGGCCCTTGATGGAAAATAATTTTTTTACATTTCAGGAAAAGAAAAATAGTGCCTTGTTCATGTTTGGTACTCCCTGAAGTGGGGCCTGCGGGTAGAGCAGCCCACAATGAAACACATTACTATTTCTGCAGGCAGGGATTCAAAAATTCATACTAAAGTAATGGGATAAATACAAGTCATAAAAAAACTTCACACCTGGGCAGGGAGTGGTGGCCCACATCTGTAATCCAAGCACTCTGGGAAGCCGAGGCAAGAGGGTTGCAAGTTTGAGCCCAGCCTTCACAATTTAGTGACTTAGAGAGACCCTGCCTCAAAATAGGGAAACCCACTCTGGTTCATTTGCTGGGGGAGTATAAAACCATATGTTTTATACTTGCCGCCTGGTAAGTGCAAGGCCCTGAGTTTGATTCCCGTACTGAACCAAACCAAACCAAACCACACAATCCCCTTGAGGACAATTCGGTAACATGCATAAAAACTTCCCTGCGTCTTGCACCTAGCAATTCCAGTTGTAGACCATGGGGACAGCCGAGCCCAAGTGTGCAGGACGTGTCCTTGGGGATATTTATCCCCGCAATGTTGGTAATGGCAAAAAGCAAGAGGCAGTGTAAAACGCCCGTCTGGGAGGGCTGATGGCATACGAGGCCCACACCCACAGAGAACATGGGTCAGGCTCATACAGCAAAAGCACACGTGTGTCTGCTATGCTTAGAAAATGAGGAAGGGTATCTACCTGCATGTTAACATGTGGGTGCCGGCGTTTCCAGAAAGGTTTACTTTATTATTTTTTGGTACCGGGGATTGAACTCAGGTCCTTGTGCTTGCGAGGCAGGCAGCAGAACCACTGGGCTAAATCCCCGGCCCTAGAAAGGTTTACTTTCTATTTATGCTTCTCTAAATTTGAAACTATTCTTGGTAATGAGTACGTATTGGGTTCTAGAACCAGAGAGAGCAATAAAATTGATCATTCTATGAAAATACAGGTCTAAAACAAAATATATATACACAGATGTTTCTTTGAAGCATGCTAAAATAGAGACTGCCTTGTCCTGAACCATGAAGTGACCTGTTTCTTATACCCACGATCCGTGTATCCTGTTTCCTATACCCCCTCCCTGCAACCTGTATCCTGTTTTCTGTAGTCCTGTACCCTCTCCTTGTATACTGTTTCCTGTACCCTCTCCCTGTGTCCTGTATCCTGTTTCCTGTACCCCCGCCCTGTGTCCTGTGTACTTTTTCTATAGGAGGAAGATAGCACACCCATTTTGTAGATCAAGAAACTGAGGCTCAGAGAGACCACGTAACCTAACCACGATCACTTAGCAAGACTGTGCCCTATTCCAAAGCCTGGGCCTGTGACCCCTTTCCTCCCGGGCCCCCACTGCCCTTATCCCTGCACACAGTTCCCAGAGCTGCTGCTCCGGGGACTTAGAAAGCCTCAGTGGCACTCACTGTGCTTTGCTGTTAGGCTTTTTGGCTCGAGGATGTCTTGGGAAGCCTTTCTGGGAGCTGCTTGAGCTGTGTTTGTTCCTCTTGAGTTCCTTGTTCGCCCAGCTCGAGTCTGCAGCGGGGCTCTCCCTGGCAAAGAGGACACCAGAGGTTTGTTAGTGGATCTCCTGTGTCTGCCAGTGCTGACTGGAGGGCAGACACCCGGTGCCGCCTGACCCCACAGTGCCCCAGTGTTCGCTTATCCGCGAGTACCCTGAGTGACGTGACACCAGCTTGGAACCCACACTTGCATTCGCGGCTGTGCATGTGAAATTAATGCATCACTGATGCCTAAGCAAGCCCCAAATTGCTAAATTTATACAAATTGTCTCAAAGTTTTTCACATAAATTTGGGGAAGCAGGTAGGTCCATTTTAATAAGTTGGCTATGTGGGGTGCAAACATCAGAAGTCTCGGGCCTTGCTCCCCCATCCTGCAGCGGTGACCGCGGAGGGCCTGCCACGGTCAGAGCTGTCCCTGAGAGGGACCAGGCCACAGCCAGGGAGAGGCAGAAACAGGTCTGAGCCACCCTCTGAACGGCCACTGGCTCAAGGGAGCCTGGGTAACACTCCCCAAAGAATGCTGAAAAAGAAGACAATCGCAGACTCCCAAGACCGGTCACAATCGCTGCAAAGACAGTAACGGAGTCCATTGGTAGCTCGGTTCGCAAACGCTTCTGTTTGCAGGCATTTCGGTCCTCAAACAAGACATCTGACACCATTTTGCTTCCATTCAGAAACTCCACACCGGTTGACAAATACAACCACGGTCACCTTCCCCAAAATCATAAAGCAAATTAACTTCGTGAAAGGAGGAACCAGGGCACGTGCTACACAGCCCAGACAACTGACGCACACAATAAAAGGGATTTTCCGAGGTGATCAACGGAACATGCAGGCCTTAGCGTGCGAAGGGGAGATCAGGGGGCCTAACGGAGCCCCCGGAGAAAGGCCCGTTGGAGATAAGTGAATGTGTATGAGGCAGGGCGACCCGCGGCTGGGCTCGGCTGGCTGCCGGCCCGCCCCACTGCGGCCTCGTACTCTCCCACGGCACTCAGAGGAGCTGCATTGTCAGTGGTGCGGGACGGAAGCGCGAGATTGCCCGCATCCGTGTGCACAGGCTCGTTGCTGCCGAGTGTCCTCATTTGGGAAGAGAGAAAGGGCTGGGCTGTGAGCCTGCAGGTAGAGCAGGGCCTGCGTGCCCAGCACAGCCGAAACGGTGGAAAACATCGCCTCGCTGGGCCCCCTTCGCGCTGACCACGGGAAAGAGTATGTGTAAGCTGGGGTGTAGCTCAGTGTGAAGGTCCTGGGTTTAACCCCGGGCAGGGGAAGAGCGCACACGCGTTCTGACGAAGGAGAAACTTACATCACACTGGGCTTGCTGACAGCGTCCTTCACGTTAGTCCGAGCCGCGGCACCTTTTGGATTGGAAGGGACAAGGAGGGCTGCGACCAAAGCAAAATAGGAGGAGAAGTGGATGAGGTGGGTGGGGGCTTGGTCATTTACGGAGAGACAAGGGCGAGCGGCCCGGAGAGGTCTCACGGCCTCGGTCAGACGGCTGAGTCCTTGCTGGGGGCTGTCTTGTGCACGGGGTAGGATGCTCAGTGGCATCCCCAGCCCCCACCCACTAGGCAGCCACCACAGAAATCCCAGATGCTGCTAAACGTCTCTCCCGGCCAAGGCCTGCCCGACGATCAGGTCCACCCAGCACGGCGAGGACATCAGCACAGGGCCAGGGCTGCGCGGGGATCTGAAGGTGGGGGAGGTCGCAGAGAGATGCTTTGCAATGAGCTACATCTCCAGCCCTTTCAAAGAAAAGTTTAAGACAGGGTCTCTCTAAGTTGCCCAGGTTGGGCTAAAACTTGCAATCCTCCTGCCTCGGCCTCCAATTATAAGCACGTGCCACCATACGCAGCTTGGACTTGTCTTCTGGCTGTTAACGTCCTTGTGTTTTGTCTCACTGTGAGTAAGAGGATCAAAGTAAACCTACGGCTGAGAAAGGGGTCACCGTAGCCTAGAGTGAGTCCCCAGATGCCCCAGTGCGGCCCGCTGTAATAACAATGAGAGTTCGGCTGATGGACCGCGGAGACAGCCTGGCTGCAGCCTGTCCTTTGGGCCCCTGTCCACTTCCTCTACACAGCCACTCCCAGCGGTCACACACATGTCCTCTTCTTCCTGATTTTTCTTGCGCTTTCCTACACTGCACCTGAAAATCAAGACAAACTCTGAAATGTCTGCTCTACTCCATCCCAGCGAATCCTCCCAGCCAGTCCTCAAAATCCTGGCCATGTTAACTCACCTGTCATGCCCCAAAGCCTCTCTGTACCTCAGAGAGAAGGGGCCTTACTCTGTGAACACCTTAGCACTTTTTGTTAGGTATATGCACTCAATACTTGTGTTTCTGAGGTCGGTACCGATGCTGGAGAGACTTCCTGGGAGTAAGGGATAAGAATAGCTAACTTGGCAGCTCCTACATGCTGCTTCTCAAACTATCTGTGGTGAAGAAGCAGTTTTTAAAAAATATATAGACTGGGCTGGGGATTTAGCTCAGTGGTTCTGCCACCTGCCTTGCAAGCTCAAGGTCCTGAGTTCGATCCCCGGTACTGGGAAAAAAAAAAATATATATATATAGATAGATAGATAGATAGACAGATAGATCACCAGGCATGGTGGCACACGCCTGTAATCCTAGCACTTGGGAGGCTGAGGCAGGAGGATCACTGCAAGTTCAAGGTCAGTTTAGGCTACACAGTGAGTTCAAGGCCAGCCTGGATGACACTGAGAGACCCTGTCTCAAAAAAATATATATGGTATTAAAAAATACATAGACTTGCTGGGGATTTAGCTCAGTGGTTCTGCTGCCTGCCTTGCAAGCGCAAGGACCCAAGTTCGATCCCTGGTACCAAAAATAAATAAATAAAATTAAAAAATAAAAAATCCGCAGACCACATTCAATGGACTAGTGCCCTTGGGAAGTACAGTTCAAATGAATCTGTAGAAAGTGATCGGGCTCCTGGTTGCCACGCAATTGTGTTGCTAT